ACTTATGTCACTTGGAGGGAGTGTGATTTATTCACACCCCTGAATGATGCAAGTTATACTGACTTAGGCTGCAGTATAGATGTGGCCTAAGCCAAAATTTCAATTTGATCATGGCAGAAGCACCTAAACTGGTTGCAAAACAAATCCAAAAAGGCCTTCCTAAAAGGCCTATAATTTTTTTGTACTTTATTTCTTTTGGATGTCAACTGAACTAACTTGAGCTGACCGCTGCTGTAAGTGCAGTGAGACAGTTTCAAGATCTTCTGTGGCAGAAGAGAGAGTAATAGTCATATATCAACCACCTCAGCATTTCTGCATTCGGCATTCAAGGTTCACAAAGCATTTTACCAGCATCGATGGATTTAACTTCACAATGACAATACCCTGCAAAGCTGTTATCATTATATCAGTTTTATAGATGGCAAATGAATACACAGAGCTGCTAAATGACTTGCCCAATGTCAGACAAGAAATCTGTGGCAACAAAAGGTAATTCACTTAACAAGACTGAGCTTGAACCACAAGACAATGCATGACTCTAATTAATGACTGTAAATCATTATGAAGATGTAAAGCTACCTATTTTTTATTACGAATGGTACTTGGTTTGCTGCAGGAAAAGAGAACAAGTATCAGGAATAAGGCATTAACACAGGCAGTAGGGCTGTCATTTGATCAGTATTTTGCAATCCCTCTGGAGCTCCATTAGAATTTTTACCAAGAATCAAATTTAAATTTCAAAATATTTACAGTAATATCTCAGGGTGTCCTGATTATCAACTGCTCTGAAGGGCATGTTTAGGAAGACTTCCCCAATGTTTCAATCGTTGGCTCTTGTATTTCTCATTAGAAATGTTAGCAGTGCCAGCGAGTGAATCAGCTCTCCCTTTTTCCACATGGAACAAAACTTTCTACAAAGAATTTTTAAAACTCTGTGAAAATAACCAGGTCTGGTTGGGGAGGGGCAGATGACCAGGGCTTAAAAATACAGCCTCATCTTTTGCTTGGTTCAAAAACATAATCAGATAACCACCCTAAAGAAATAATCTATATAGAACAGAGAAGTCAGAGAAGCCCCAATTTAAAAAGCCAGTATTCTGTCTCCAGGGTAGTATTTGTCAGCATTATATTAATCCAGTACCAGCATCTGGAGTTATCTCCCTTTTTCAAAAACACTTTAATTCATCAGTTGGCTTCTGCTTTATAGAGTGCATGGCAATCTATTTATTTAATCAGAGCTTGGCCCATTTTCTAATTAAGTGGGATAATTTGGGCTCATTTCCTGCAATAGTTAATTTACTGGGGAACAGCTCATCCTTAGCAGTAATGTTTGAGGTGATTTGCATGCATTCACTTTGGCATTCAGCTCCCTTCTCTGTGCTCAGAAGAGGAGGAAGATATGGACCTTTTATTTATGTATTTCCAGGTTGTGGTCTAGGCGGACACTTGCCAGGAAGATTCGAAAAGGGAGGCAGTGAGAACAGATGGGGCTCCTTCAGCCTGTTGACATGGTATATCCCGATGCAGGTCTGGGATAGAACAACCTCTTGATTAGGAATAGTCAGCATGGATTCACAAAGGGCAAGTCGTGCCTGACCAATCTGATTAGTTTCTATGATGAGGTAACTGGCTCGGTGGACATGGGGAAGTCAGTGGATGTTATATACCTTGACTTTAGCAAGGCTTTTGATACGGTCTCCCACAATATTCTTGCCAGCAAGTTAAGGGATTGTGGACCGGATAAATGCATGGTAAGATGGATAGAAAGATGGCTAGAACGCCGGGCCCAGTGGGTAGTGATCAATGGCTCAATGTCAGGATGGCGGTTGGTTTCTAGCGGAGTGCCCCAAGGTTCAGTTCTAGGACC